TTTGTTTTGGAAACGTTCCGAAAAATCCGGTGCGTGCAAACGGCGTGGAGTCCGGATAAGTTACGCGCGACTTATCCGGTTCGGTTACGCGCAGTAGAGATCGTGCGGGCGCCCTGATCAAGCGACCCTTCTCTATATAAACCGACCCGCCGTCTTCACGCAATATATGCGAAAATCAATTTAGGGTTTGCCTACTACTCTGTACTGCGCCGTCGCTCGTAGACTACTCCATCCCGCTCGCCGGCGTGCACCAGCGATCGGGAGAGCAGGTCTCCGGAACCTCTACCTTTGACGTCCTGTACCGGGAGAAGGCGGCAATAAGGTTTTTGGGAAGCGCTTCGCGCGACTGCTCCCTGTTCGTTCGCGACGGCGCGCCTTCCTCTTCGCTCGCGTGTTTCGTGCCTTCGTAGACACCTGCGGCAAACGGCGTGGAGTCCGGATAAGTTACGCGCGACTTATCCGGTTCGGTTACGCGCAGTAGAGATCGTGCGGGCGCCCTGATCAAGCGACCCTTCTCTATATAAACCGACCCGCCGTCTTCACGCAATATATGCGAAAATCAATTTAGGGTTTGCCTACTACTCTGTACTGCGCCGTCGCTCGTAGACTACTCCATCCCGCTCGCCGGCGTGCACCAGCGATCGGGAGAGCAGGTCTCCGGAACCTCTACCTTTGACGTCCTGTACCGGGAGAAGGCGGCAATAAGGTTTTTGGGAAGCGCTTCGCGCGACTGCTCCCTGTTCGTTCGCGACGGCGCGCCTTCCTCTTCGCTCGCGTGTTTCGTGCCTTCGTAGACACCTGCGAAAAGTTTCGACCAAGCAGCCGGTCTTTTCGTCACCTCGGTACGTGTTCAATATGTTGCGCATATTTGATCTGTTCATGTTATTCTGCGTAGTTTACATGTGTAGATCTAATGATGCGTTCATGCTAGTTTTCATCTGTAATGTCATGATTTATTTATGGAATAAATTAAATCATTATATGCCCATAATCTCAACAGATAGTGAATAGTTGAAAGTTTGGAACATTAGTCAGCTCGATTTTTTTCTTTTCATTTTTTCTCCTTTCGATGATTCTACCCATATGTATGCGGAGATCCTATCCGTTCCTGTTCTAAGTTACTACAACTCTTAACTTTATATACTCGCTCCGGTTCTTAGCTACCACAACTCTTAATCGTCCGTCTTATTTAAAAAGTGTATAAATTTTTTTTAAAAAAATAGTCATATATAAAGTACTATTCATGTTTTATCATCTAATAATAATAAAAATATTAATAAAAAAATTTAAATAAGATAAATGGTCAAACGTTTAACATGAATAGTGCAAAACTGCACATATTTTTGGACGGAAGAAGTACTCCTTTTGGTTCCATAATTCTTAATGTTTTGAACAGTGTTAAGGTCAAACCTTGATAACATTGACCATTGATAACTTTAAAAATATTTAGTTTAAAGACATGAGAACAAATAGAAGTATATAGATTGTCTTATGAAGTACTATAATAAAAGTAAAAAAAATATATTATATTTAGAGACTATGCCATCATTCAAAACGTTAAAAATTGGATGGAGTACCGTAATTAAAGCTAGAACGGGGATTTTATGTTTTTGAACTGCTTCCGGCTCCCTCCGTCCCAAAATAAGTACAGTTTTGACGTTTGACCGTTCGTCTTATTTGAATTTTTTATGATTAGTATTTTTATTGCTATTAGATGATAATGCATGAATAGTACTTTATGTGTGACTAAATATTTTTAAATTTTTTACAAATTTTTTAAATAAGATAGATGGTCAAATGTTGGGCACGGATATCCACAGCTGTACTTATTTTAGGACGGAGGTATTACTTCTAATTCGTTTCTGAAGTTTCGATTTCGCTGGTGGGGCCAGCCCGGCCTCTGACAGCAACAGTCACTAGCCGGCACAGTTAATTAATTGGACCTGTTTTTTCTTTCTTATTGAGCCATCGTATCTCCTGTCACGTACGTAGCCCACAGATCGTACATACTACTACGTGAGCAAGCGTACAGCTCTGTGGCGTTCTTAGGGCACTGGTTATATATAAGCTCTCTACAAGAGATCTATGTCAGCATATTTTTCTATATAGAAGATATTAAATGAAGAGAGAGAGCAAAGTTATCTACTAGCTTAGGACATCCACAATGTGCTAAAAAGTAGGTAGTAAGAAGCCCTACTAGCTGGTTCACCATTGTGGGGCATGTAATAAAGTGGGCAATAGTATCATCTGGTTAGTAGCACTACTACCAGATAACAAGTAATAAACAAATATTAAAACTCTATTCTCTCTCATTCTTTCTCTCTACTTCACCCATCCACTCCTCTTAAATGTGGGACCCAGCTTACTACTTATACATTGTGAGATTCAAAATAACTACTGTCTAGTTTTGTGGGTCCCATCTTACTACCCACTTAGTAAATATACATTGAGGATGCCCTTAGAGATAGTCTATAGAGAAAAACGAGGCAATGCATGAGAGAGCTATAGATACCTATGTAGACATACTATTGATGTGGTTTACTATTAATCTAGTCTATTGCTGAGATATATATATTTTATAGAAAGCACCTTACTTTACCAATGCGGATGCTCTGAAAACCAAACAGGCTCCGCATGTGTAGCACTCCGTATATGCAAGCAGAACACATTTAATTGCAGAGACATAGATGTAGCTTGCAGCTTCTAAACCCAAAATTTAAATTATAAAATCACAAATTAATTGCAGAGGCATGGATGTAGCTTTCAGCTTCTAAACCACTCCCAAAATTCAAATTATAAAACTTAATTGTATTGATCTTTAAGTCGTTAAAACCAAAGATATATAAATTATGTTCATATATTATTTGTAGTTATCTCGTTTTTTTTTTTGCACGGCTTCTCCAGACATGTGCCGCCACACCGATTAGCGGAGACAGGCAGCCGCCGGGCAGCACTGAATCAGGCGAAGCAAGGCCGCCTGCAGCCATGGCTGCCCCGTCCTGGTCCCTCTCTCTCTCTCTCTCTCTCTCTCTCTCTCTCTCTCTCTCTCTCTCTCTCTCTCTCTCTCTTATCTTCCTGCAATCCGGCAAGACGCGCGCACCGTAGGCCCACATCGTCGTCGTATACGACCGCATGCCATGAACAATAATCCAGGGCTACTCCCTCCATCTCATAATATAGCAACTAGAATGTTCCGATTCGTACAGTGAATACGTCTCATCCAATTTTATTATATTCTGGGATGGATAGAGTAGCTATCAATATATTCGCCTCTCTCGTGCGTTTGCGTGCGGAAGATGATCGATCATACACCGCGCTCGTCGATAGGTACTAGTATGATATATCCGTGTATATGCATTGTACGCAACTACTATGAATCGTTCCATGATTCCATTCCATCTCTCCATCATAGGAGCTAGACTGCTGTACGCATACATGATAGGTGCGTGATGCATGATTGGCCAATTGGGCGATGCGGATGTATATATGTATTCATCTGCATACAAATTTGATCGCGTGATATATCGCCATTTAGACCGCGACCTGCGACGACGACGACAATGGGCTGGTCATGGGGATTTTTGCTGGAAGGCCCATATACAAAATATACAGTCCAAAGCCCAGTAGCTACCAATATGTGACGGAATAAGTTCACCTTGACTCCCTTAACTAGTGACCGAATCTGATTTGTATCCCTGAACCACAATACGGGATATCTCAACCCCCTCCCCAAGTCCCCAACTGTTAAAACCAGTGCAATTTTACTCCCTCGGTGGTTTTAGAGAGCGATTTCGCTGATGTGGTGCCTACGTTGTTGCTCCCGCCTACCGCTACTAGCCCGAAGAGAAAGAGAGAGAGAAAGAGATAAGGGAGAGAGATGTAGAAGGAAGAAGGGAAGAAGAGAGGATGACATGTTGGCCCCACAATAATTTTTTGTATGAATGACAAATGGGTTCCACACATATTTTTTTTGATTGTAATGCCACATAAGCACCACGTCAAACTCCACCTAGAAAGAAGAGCATGTCAATATCACGACGAAGGCGCCACGTCAGCAAAACCACTCTCTAAAACCGTTGAGGGTGTCAAATTGCACTAATTTTAATAGTTGAAGGGTCGAGATATCCGGTATCGTGGTTTAGGGATACGAATCAAATTCGATCACTTGTTAAGGTACCCAAAGTGAACTTATTCCATATGTGACTATGTTTGCCAACGCTGAGGCCCATGGGCCACTGGGGCAAGGCCCTTCGTCTAGCCTCCTTCTGCCTCCATGGCCTATGTGCCTTCTAGGTGGACGGCAAGGACGCTGTCTGTAAAATGGTCAGCCCGTTCCGCGCGACCGTTGATATACACCAACGGGCGGTGTGTCACATCATAAAACGGTGAGGAAGAGTCTCACATGCCAGCAAGACTGTGAGGAGGGATCATGGGAGCATGGGACATATGGAGAGGAAAGGTAATAATAATAGTTCTTCCTCCGTTTCAGTTATAAGACTTTTTAGCGTCGCCCATATTTATATATATGTTAATGAATTTAGACATATATGTGTGTCTAGATTCATTAACATTCATATAAATGTGGGGCAATGTTAGAAAGTCTTATAACTTGAAATGGAGATGGTACAAACAAAAAGAAAATCAGAAATGCGGCAGCGACTGTATTCTCAGCGCCTAAAACAACTAAATACAACTAAATATTACAATGCAGCAAATCAGAAATGCTATGCATACTCAGTGCAACCCTGCATGATCATTAGTAAAAGCAAACCACGAAAGGGCATGTAGCCTAGTGGTCTCAGTGACCTGAGTAGTACCCCAAGGTCCTGAGTTCAAATCTCCTATGGAGCGAATTTTAAATTGGGTTGTTTGCGGGGCTAAGTTCCCTATTTCAATGGCTGTATATATCCGGATATAGAGGCCGGGTAAAAGATACCCTTCTCTAAAAAATAATAATAAAATTAAAAAAAAATTAGTAAAAGCAAACCACAACTGCTATGTGCACCAAAGGTCCAGCTCACACTTTACTTCATCAGTTTTCAGTTCTGACCAAACTAAGCAACAAGTGCACCCTGCACCATACTAACAAAAGGCATTCCAGAATGTCAAATGCTAAGAATTGTTCATGAGGACAAACTACAATGGCAGCAAAATTGGCCGCAGCTAGATCAGTTTCTCTGTTCCTTTCTTTACAGCACAATCGGGCCAAAACATGCCAGGTACATCAAGGGTCGGCAGCCAACAAAGCTGCTTCTTCTTCTTCTTTTTTTAACAAAGCTTCTTCTTACTTCTCAGTTCACTGTCGCTGCAAAGAGGGAGGGGCTTGACTCACTTCCACAGAAGTCTCTGGTCTTGCAAAACTTCGTATGACTGCAGACAGTCTCTCCCAAGCAGCGAACGAACGATGGCAGGTTATTCTGATCCTCCTAATGCCTGTTGCTACCCTGACTAAGACCCTCAGAAGGTCAAGCTCATGTTCCTTTCCTCTGAAGTTGAGCATCTGCACTTCTCTTAGAGACCTCATCGAAATGTCCTTATTATCTCTCCAGTTCGGTGGCCGATCACAGCTGCAGTTCGGTGGACACACATCTTGATCCTGAAATTACAAGATCGGAACAAAATACGAGCTATTAATGAGATTCATATCCTAACACGTTGAGCAGATGTGAAAACTTCATTTTATATTGCAAAGCATGATTTCAGTGCTATAAATAAAAACTCTTAAACTTTCATGGATCTTTTTCATGGCAGATTGTATGATCTAAAGGACAACAGCAAAGAATAAATGATCAAAGTGGGATATAATGATAAGACAACTATATGAATTTGGTCACAAAAAAGCACTATTTATCTATTAACTCATATTAGGAGTTACTTTTGTGCCATCAATAGGGCATAATTGATAACTTCCTGCCTAAGCCGACGGATCATATGTGATTCCACTTGCTCAAGATTTATTACAAGCATATAAATTAGAGTTCAAAAACACAATCATTTTCATAGGAAATATAATTACCTTGTAACGATCTCCTCCGATTTTTAGGTTTGATATACCAGTACACATTGTCAGCATATACAACACACTAGCTCCATAAACATGCCCATGTGCTGAGAATTGTAGGTGCAAGAACCTAATGTCAGGGAGTCTGGTTATGCCTTCCATCAATGGATTAACGCCACCTAGGTGCTGTGAAATCATACAAAGTTAATTTACAAAGGCAACCTCACACAAAATGCAAAACTGACAGGAAAAGAATCAAATATGTACGACAAAGGGTTGTACTGTGAAGAATTAGTAATTTGGTCACAGACTAGTAAATATTTAAGTAATTTGCTTGAGGAGTAGTAAAGATTCAGTAATTTGCTTGCAGAATATCTAGCTTGAGCCAACATTTTCAGATTGGAAACCTTCCATATATGTCTGCTACTTTTGGGTCACCAGGAATAGAAATCAATAGTCTGAATTCAATGGTGCAAGTAAATTTAAATCATTAGATGCATCTGCATGATCATGTTCAACAACAGGATAATGCTGATTCTACTAAAAAAAGCAAGATAATGCTGAACTAACAGATAATGAGTGCTGATCTATATGGTAACAACTCAGAAACTGCATCAGTATATCCAGAATGAAAGCGTGACTTGCAATTATGCTAGCTTACCAAGACTCGTACTCCTATTAAGACAAAGACTAGACTGAATGCAAGTATGGGGCAATTGATCTTTTCTACAGAAATAAAGTATCAATTGAAAGAATCTTCTCCAAAGATCACATCTACAAAAAATAATTCTGAACTTCAGTTCAAGATTGTTCTGCTGGTCTGTGACTTAGTAGATTATTCTCCTGGCCTGTAACTTTCTTAACTAGTTGAGGACAATATTCAACATTCTGCTAGTGTGCGACAATTGATCTTTTCAACAGAAAGTATGATTAGGAAGAATCTTGTCCAAAGAACACATGCAAAAATTTCGACCTTCAGTTCAAGATTGTTCTTTCTGCAACAGAAAACATAGCCCAGTAAATACTACAGCAGAATCATTGAATCAAAGCATTCAGAATTGAGTTTACAACCCCCATGACCTGTGCACTTAATTATTCCAACTGATCTTCCATTAACAGTTTAAACTACTCTTGAACAATACACAGCTGATGACCATGCAATGATACAGAGAAAGAAGAAGCACTCACTGGTTCGATGAAAACCAACATCTCGAGACAACGAATGCGTGAAAATGTCTTGAGAAGCCTGTCACAGCTCGGATTGAATTTAGTATGCTGACGATGCCGTCCATAAGGATAAAATGGGGAGACGCTTAGCACATAGAGGCGCGGCATCTGGCTGAACTTGATCAATCTTGGACAGTACCAATCTAGCCACCTGAGCACCTGCAGCTCCTCTGCAACAATGCAGACGCCCGCCATTGCAACCAGCCATGTCGAAGAACAGAAGCAACAGGATACAGTCAAGAACTTGAGTCTCGGCACCACGGCATTGAGCCGAAGCAATCCCCGCACAGCGGACAGATTCATCCAGTTGAGATGCTTCAGCCTGAGCGTCAGGGAGGCCAAGACACGGGCACTGTAGATCTCTAGCCCTTCCAAGAACGGCATCACAGTATCGTCCAGGGTGAGTTCGCCATGGAACCGGACAAACGAAAGGCGCAGCTCCCTGAGCGCGGCGAAGACGCCCGACGGCGGCAGCGATAGGCCAAGAAACCCCAGGCGCAGCGCTATCTTGGTGGCTCTCGTGAAGCAGGGGAGCTCGAGCGCGCCTCTTTCTTCGATTGGATCGCTGAATACCTCGTCGAAGAGCATGTGGAACGGAACCGAGGCCCTGTTGCAGAAGGCGAGCTCTCCGGAGATGAGGGGCGCGGCGACGCGGATCCAGGAGGCGGTGGCGTCCGGCGTGGCGCTGCGGAGGCAGACGACGTAGAGCTTGTTGATGTTGGTGACCGCGTGCACGGCGTGGGCGGCGAGGGCGGCGCGCACGATGCTGGAGTCGTGGGGCTGGTAGTGATGCAAGAAGAGGCCGGACACCCATTTCCAGACGTGGCGCCAGCGGCGGGACAGCAAAGCTGGTCCTGGCGGCGGCGCGGGTGTCCAAGAGGCGGCGCAAAATGACGGCGAGGATGTCCTCGGGGAGATCGTTGAGGTGGCCGCGGCCCCGCCCGCGCCCGTTGCTGGTGGAGGCGACGAGCGCCGCTCCGTCGCCGTATCCGTCCCGGTCGCGGCCGCGGTCGCGGTCGAGGTCCATGGCCATGGGGGCGGGGGGCGAGGACGTCGAGTGCGCCGCGATCGCCGTCGATGTCCATGGGAGCGGGAACGGGGGCCGGGGCGGGGTCGGTGACGGCCTTGGCTCTACCTCCCTCTCCCTCTCCGTCGCCGTCGCCGTCGATCGGGACGAGAACCGCCATGGCCGTGGGTTGGGGGTGGTCTCTATGGATTTGTCAGTTCTCTTCTCGTGAGGACGACGAGTAGTTCTTGGCCTTATCCCAGCCGCTTATTGTGAAGCAACGGCAGGATGTGAGTGGATCATACGTGGGACCCACGCGCGTCACGTGTGGCCATCGCGGAAGAAAATTACACAGGACCTTGTCCCTCTACTTGACACCTGTCTTGCACGAATCTTTGACTCCCTTGTCCCTCCAAGTCCCCTTTGTGTTCTTCTAGGCGTCCGACCAGCAGCCATGGAGCTCGCGGCCGGCTGCCGCTGTCACCGGAATCGAGCGGCATCCACAGTGTGTCAGACTTACAAGGGTGCGTTTAGTTCATACCAAATTTGAAAGTTTAGTTAAAATTAGAACGGTGTGACAGAAAAATTAAAAGTTTATGTGTGTAGAAAAATTTTAATGTGATGGAAAAGTTGAAAGTTTGATAAAAAAAATTTAAAACTAAACTCGGCCTTAATTTTTTTGGAACGGCCGATCAAAATTGATTGGCCTTATATCGATAGATAGAAGAGGGTTAAATACAAATAGTCAAAGGCTAGGAAAGCAAGAAGAAGAGAAAATTACTGAACATACCTACATGCAAACAAGCTTGCACGTAGCTCTCCTAGCTCCTCATGTCAACATTCTTCCGATGTGTTTAACGCCAGCCATACTCCACCAACATAATTCCTCTTGGATGCAACTACTCATCTGGTGTACCGTCACCTCCTTTCCTCTGAAGATTCTTGCGTTCCACTCCTTCCAAATTTCCCAAGCGATGAGCAGGAAGAGAGTTCCGAATCCTTTATGTTTTGTTGCTCTCGGATCGCTTGTTCCTTGTGTCCACTAATACAGAAGGTTTCTACTATTATTCCATTTCACGATGATGTGCCCTTGGGGCAACCATGTGAGAACTCTAAACCAGATTTGCTTTGAGACCGGGCATTCGAACAATAAATGATCGAGGGCCGTTTATTCGGATTGTGAGACGCATTAAAATGCAATTTGCGCCCCGAATTGATTGACAGACAATTAAATTAATAAAAAGAAAACGGTTTCGAGATTCCGGAAGCATAACTGATAGAAATAATTTTTTGGCCATCCCCTGATCTGTAGCCGATCAGTCGTCCACACCCGGTTTTGAAGCACCAACCAGTGGAAGATATTGCATTTTGCCAGAGCCCATGCCTCCCAAGACAACTTTGTTGATGGCGAAAGCACCATTCCATTGAACTGAAATTGATATGCTGATTTTGCATTGTATTCCCCATTGGTTGTCCATCGCCAGATAATTGAGTCTTGTACCCCCTCTGTTAGCTGTGGGGGTGTCACGGGCTAGAATTTCTCAAACATGGAAGAATTCATCGAGGAGGGGGATAGTGAGGCTGTGGCGAATATTGTTGATCCATCTTCATTGTAGCAGGGCATCCTGGACGGTGCGGTTTTTCCTCTTGGAATGCCTACAGAGATTTGGCGCTTGACTTTTTAGACTTTCGCCTTTTGTCCATCACCAATTTGGACTTTCGTTGATGCCGCAAACAGATCCTTATCCAATTCATCACAAGGCGTTTCATTCCCTATCCAAGTTTTTATGGCGGCCTCCATTCAAACCATAGCCACCTTAGGCGAAGAGCTCTGATAATTTTTTTGATGTTCTCCTACTTCAGGTATTTTAGGATCGATGATCCACCAATGAAATGATCCCGTTTGTCATCGCCGCCGTCAAGCAGCAACAAACATGCTCAGGTGGACAGAATAAGACCGAACCGAAAAAACCGAGACCGAGAAATTCAGTTAGTAATTCGGTCTCAAAGACCGAAATTTATTCGGGTAATTCGGTTATTGGGCTCGGTTAACCGAATTAACCGAGAAAACCGAATTGTGGCCCAATAGGCACAGGAGGTCGAATAAGCCCAATACACCACTAAACCCTAGAGGCCACCAACTCCAACCCGCATGACGCATCCCCATCGCTCCGCCCTCCGATTCCGCATCCCCATCGCGCCGTCCTCCGCATCCCCTTCCATCTCGCGCCGCCTCCGCCTCCATCGCGCCGCGCTGCCGCCGCCGCCTCCGCCCTCCGCATCCCCATCCATCCCGTGCCACCGCCTTTGCCCTCCACCCTCCGCCTCCACATCGCCGGTGCCGTCTCCGCCCTCCGTGCCCACGCCGCCTCGCCGGTCGCGCCGGGCCGCCGGCCACCGGATCTATCCTCCGCCTCCACCACGACGCGTCGGCAACACCGTACTCCCACCAAGCACCGCCGCATCGGCATCGACGGCATGTGCCGCCTCCAGCCGGCCCCACCTCAGCTCCTCCAAATTCGGTCAGACCGAGACCGAGACCGAATTTATCGGTCCTGACTTTTTTTGGATGAAATTCGGTCCTAACTTTTCAAAAACCAAAATGACCGAAAAACCGAAGACCGAAGACCGAGACCGAAATTTTCGGTTAGACAGAACGCCCACCCCTACTCATAGTGGTAACAGGGAGACCTCCATAAATTATGACTTGTGTCATCGTCGTTCGGGCTCTTACAAGTTGGCTCATCTTGTCATCGTCCCTCAGTGTCAACGAGACCTTTCGGTAGCGGTTGATGATGGATCGTCGTTAGCCGCGGATAATATCAGGGCAAGGTTTCGGTGGTCACGCTACGTCCATCAGCGGTTCTTCGCACTTCCAATAGATATGAGGAAAGACTGGATATGGATGCAAATAGGGAAGAAGTGAAACTCAATGAGTTTCCATCAGTATGCCATATTAATCGTCAGGCTATTATCAGTTGTTGCTGTTAGATACGTAATCTCGTTCATTAGAGCACCCGCAATGGTAAAGTAAGGTGCTATCTATAAAACATGTACATCTCAGCAATAGACTAGATTAATAGTAAACCACCTCAATAGCATGTCTATATGGGTATCTATAGCTCTCTCATGCATTGCCTCGTTTTTCTCTATAGACTATCTCTAAGTTAGTAGATAGCTTTGCTCTCTCTCTTCATTTAATATCTTCCATGTAGGACAATATGCTGACATGGATATCTTATAGAGAGCCTATAGATAACCATTGTGGGTGCCCTTAGGGTGTCTGCTCTTAACATTTTAACATTGCATCTGTGTAAATCTTGTTTGAAATATGTGGCACCGCCATAATTTCTTCACTGTTAATTGTTCTATTCGGTCACAACTTTGGTATGCTTGAACCTCTTTATGATTAGCATGCGTGAAACTTGCTCATTTCCCACATTCCCTTCTGAATTAACAATATTATCGTGTCAGCCATTTCAAAATACGAATTCTGTTCTTAATGTTAAGTATATTATCATCCGTTTCTGAACCTTTCTGATTCTCTGAACTACCAGCTCTTTCTGAACCTCTTGAGCCTTCCACGTATTTACAGTCAATGGAAATAACATGTCAACATGATGTTACTTTTTGATGTGCTTAAACTTACATTCCAAATTTCTAATATGTTTTGTATTGCCATTCACAAATTCTAAAAGAATGTACATCTAAATACAATTTGGAAATCACCTGAAAAAAGTACCGTGTTACAGTTTCATCGTGTCAGGAAATACCATGGTTGGAACCATCGGCTAATATCAATTCCAAACATCCCATAATTTTGTGGTCGCCACAGACATTCCATGTATTTATTCTAATGCCAAGCTCCTCTTTCCTTTGTCTTTGTACTTAAGTCCCCATTCTTGTGGAAACAATCAAATTGCACTTTCTTATCCTTACTGATTAGGAAGAAATAGGCAGATATTGTGCGTTCGCGATTAATTCAACTTGCTTAAGAGAAGAGTCAGAAGCCAGAAGATGGAGATTCACCTGAGGAATATGCATCAGAAAGTCTCAGCAGAAAGTAGATAAACCATTGCCTTGAAAAAAAATCTAACAAAGTGCAAGAATTGGGGAAACACTGACCTTCCATTGAATGTTCAGAAAAATCGGCTGAAACATTTCTTCTCCCGTCAGGCATCAGCTATAAGTAATTTCGTCTAAATTTCCTATGCAACCCTCATGTGTTTCATGTATCTCAAAGCTGATCGCAGCATTGCTCTAGCTTTTCGATCAGGGGCACATCCTGATGTGATCATTTCTTCATAGATAACTGGAACCTGTAACATTATCAACAAACCACAACGTGCAACACCTTAGAACATGCTTGCTTTCTATGGAGCTTGCAGGCTTATACCTTTAAATCAGTCAGAAATTGCAGGTCTAGACAATCAAAGAAAACTATATGATTTATAACACTGTAGAACGAAGGAAGCTGTTTTGGTTATCAGAGTACAGTGAAAGCTATGATAGCAGACAAGTTTAATTTTATAGGTTCAGCAGATGTGCCTGAATGTAACTTAATAACTGCAACTGGAGAAGAGGTTCACAAATCACGAGTACGATACCTTTTCAAACTGCTCAACACGGATTAAAGCTTTCATTAGTGTAGTATATGTTATAACATCAGGCCTTAAACCCTGCAATCCAGAATACAGAATATATGACTTTTCATGAGATACAGATAAATTTCTAAGATAATGTGATCATCCAGAGGTAATACGATGTAAGACAAAACAGCAAAACAAAGAACAGCACAACTACTTACATTTTCCTTCATGAATTGCAACACAGAGAAGGCTTCAGCAATCCTTCTATCCTCACCAAAAGCATTGATCAAGGAGTTTAGAACTACTGTGCTAGCCTCTAGGCCATCTGCTCTCATGGCCTTGACAACATTTAACGCGTGGTCTGCTAAACCCTGGAGAAGTTCCATGCATGAATCATGAGGAGTTGAGAACCAATGTTTTAATTTAAATCTGCTAAGCTCACTTAATCTGGCAAAATTATGTTAACACTGCAACACTAATTTGTAAAACTCTTGCAACCAATAACGCAATCCCAAAAGAATAAGCTCAAATCCTATAGTATACTAACGCACAAGTCAATTAGTTCCCAAATCAGTAACTTACTATATAAAGTTAGATTATATAGGTTCAAATATTTCTTGATTGGGGTATTGCCTAGCATGAAGAAAATTTTAAAAAGACAGTGTAAAGCATGCTTCACTTTAACCTACCTATCAAGTCATCTAGGAAACTGCGCAGTAGAGAACTCACCCTTTGAGCGTATGCATTGACTAAGGCATGGTACATGGTAGGTGATGGTTTCAGGCCATCCGCTTTCATTGCCTCAATGCAATCAACTGCCTCCTTGAACCTGCCAGACCGACCATATACATCCACAAGTGTAGTGTATGTGATAATGTTTGGCACCAATCCCTGTTCCTTCATCTCTGCTAGCATTGCTTCTACCCCCTCCCATCGTTGCTCTTCACCAAGCAAGTTGATCATGATGTTATATGTGGTTGTGCCTAGCGGGCAGTTGCTTTCACGCATCTCATCAAACAGCTCTATGGCACGGTCATGCCGTCCTCCCTTACAGTGCGCATCAATAAGTGTGTTCCATGTGACAACATCCGGCTCAATCCCTTCTTCTCGCATCCGATCAAATGCATCCATGGCATGCCCAAGGCAGTTGTACTTCCCAAATGTATCTATCATAACATTGTAGAAATGGCGGTCAGGGCGAACCCCACTCGCATGCATCTCGCGGAGCACCGCAAATGCCTTTTGCCATTCCCCCCTATCACGGAAACCTGCAAGGATCCGGCTGAACACATATGAGCTTGGTTTGACTCCATCGGCCTCCATCTCCTTAAGAAGTATCCTTGCGCTCTCCCATCGCCCAGCCCTCGTATAGGCATCCACGAGTAGGCTGTACGTGGCCTCATCAGGCGCAACTCCGCATTGCGACATTTCGTCGAGCACTTGCTCGGCATTCTTGAGTGACCCAATCTTCACATACCCTTTCAGCAGCGCGTTGTAGGCACGCGTCCGTGGCTTGATCTCCCCGGCAAGGAAGAACTCGAGGAACAGAGCCTCAGCCTCGGCGACGCGCCTTGCGGACCCGAGGGAGGAGATGAGCGCGGTGACCGCGTTGGAGCGTGGCGTTAGCCCGATGGCCTGCGCGGAGGCGAGGAGCTCGAGCGCGGCGTCAGGCAGCCGGGCCCGCGCGAAGGCGGAGATGAGGTCGGAGAAGAGGGGCGCGTCGGGCTCGAGGCGGGACTCCCTGAGGTCGCCGAGGAGGCGGTCGAGGAGCGCGGCGTCGGGCGGGTCCCGGGTGTTGAGCAGCGACGCGAGGAGGTGGGAGTAGGAGGCGAGGTCCGGGAGGAAGCTGTGCTCGCGGAGGAGGCCGAGGAGGCGCAGCGCGACGGCGGGGCGCGACGCGGCGGCGGAGGCGGCGAGGAGGGAGTTGAGCAGCAGCGGCGACGGCGGGTCGGAGAGCGACGGCGGGAAGGAGAGCAGCAGCGAGTGCGGGAGCAGGCGGCCCGACACCGACAGCGAGTGGAGGAGCGACGACAGCAGCAGGTCGAGCGGGAAGCAGAGGCGGTGGCGGTGGAGGAACGGGAGCAGCGCGAAGGCGAGCGGCAGGGACGCGTCGGTGGCGGCGAGCTCCCGCAGCAGCGCGTGCCACTCCCGCGCGGGGACGGCCGCGTACGACGCCGCCAGCCTGCTCTCCGTCACGGGCAGCACGGAGGTCGGCGGCGGGGACGGCGAGGAGGAGGTGGTGGAGAGGTAGCTCAGGAGCGGGTCGAAGTCGTAGCGGGTCGCGGAGGGCGACGAGGAGGTGGAGCAGCCGGCGGGAGGGAGGCGGAGGCGGTGGCGGTGAGGGAGGAGGGTGGGGGGGAGGAGGGAGGAGGCGGGCATGGTGGAGGCGACGGACGGAGAGCGAGTGGTGGAGGCGGAGGCGCGGGAGGGCGTGGGGTTTATCTGGTTTTGAGATTTTTTTTTGTTGCGCTGCGCCCGCGCGGCGCGTCTAGGCTGGAACTGGCATGTGGACCTCACGCTGTCACGTACCGGTTTACACTGGACGGGGAGATTGCACGATTGAATTTTGTTGGAAAAAGGCCGGGGCCAGGCCGGTTTCCACGGCAGGCTGGCTAGGAAGGCGGAAGCCCAAGAGATGGGAGGGTCTTTTTTGACTATTTACTTTGCTTGCTTTGGATCGAAGTTAATCTATTGGTAATAACTAATAACTTAGGTTAGATTTGGCATCAATCTATAGCATTCTTCACTATAGTTTCTTCTTTTGGTTCTATGTTGGTAGCAACCCAAATATGACAAATACAAACTTACCCTCATAAAGTATTGGTAGTGCCAAAACTTATCTAGATTTTAACACTAACAAAGATTTGATAGGGTAACCATCCAAATACGTAGTAATCCCTTCGCTAAAAAAAGTTATGAGAATTCCTGTTAAATATATTATCCAAATTTCAGGTAGCAATATATTCAAATTATTTTACTAATAGGACTTTATATTATAGGATTATATTCCTACTAGGACTTAAAGTCTTTACCTATCAGGACTTCTAAATTTTCCCTTTTATATATATCCTATGTAAGTTGTATGGGAATGGTGTGACGCAATGACGGTCCATTGTATCCTTTGCGTTTGTATCCAAATCCTCAATAGTGATCATTACCAGTCAGCATCATGGTTTCTTTTCCCCGTAAGGGCTTTCCAGTAAAAAAATTTGTCTCTGTTGTGCATTTATTTTCCTAACAATTTCGTTCCATAGGTATATGATAAGAAATAGATATTTTGAGAACAATACATTCAAACTTTTGTGTACATGATATGTCCTCTTTTACGATAGTAGTATGTTGTTACATAGCCCCTATTTATTTTAGCATATCAAATGATGAGATCCTATTATATGGGAGCTTATTGTAACGATACGATGCAAGTGTAGTAATAAATTTGATACTTTTGGCTATTAGGTGAGTACCATACCTGATACATATATGGAGCCTAGAGCTAGGGATTAAGCCTATCAAAGCACTACCGCCACCTAGCCATGGAGGGGAGTGGCGACCGCCAACATACTCCATCTAGATAGGAGAGATGCGGGTTACGACAAATGGTGGTGAGGGCTTGCAGCGGTAGTGGTGGATATTGTCGAGGCCATTGACTCTACAAATCCACTTCCTCAACAACAAGACATAGCCACCCTCCAATGTTGATGACTGGTGGTTGGCGTTGGCTACCATTGCCGCCATCTTGGAGGTCCCTGCTCTTCTGGCGACGGGATAGATCCATAAAGGTGGGGAGGTATGGAGATTAGGTAGGAGATAATACATGTGACCGTGTGCCTCCGAGACGACAACTCCATTGCCTAAGAAGAGCAAGAGTACCATGTCCACACCAATCTATACCGTCTATAAAGTAAAAACCCTCTACATTCTAAAGCTTAACAAGTAAACATGCCACATCATCATCTACTAACAATTATTACATCTTAACATGCAAATATGTTAATCTATAATTTATTACCTTCAAGAGCTCAAGATGCAAGCATATCAAATCATCCTCATATTATTTTCACAGTATTTCAACATATATCTATCCAATCCTATGTTTCTTCTTCATTCAGTTTGATTTGGATCTATGCTTTTTTCGAAATAGAGGAACTTGAATTGAATAGTGTACTTGATTCAAGCATAACAATTACATCTATATTTTGTTACATTCCAAACCTTAACATGCAAGCATACTAAATTATCATTCCTTGAATCATTTTCACAATATTTTAACTCAAACCAAATCCTTCCATCATTTCTACCACATTTAGCATATATTCATTTGATATTCATTCATATATTTCGCACCAAAGCATGGGGACATCGTCTAGTTGTAGGGAATGGAATCCCGTGCGTTAGATTCCCCTACCAGTCAATCTGTCATCTCTTTACCAGTCTCATTGACATGTGGGCCTAATCTGCTAACCGGGTGTACGTGAAACGTGGGCAGTATCGGCGATGTCCGAAAGAAAATTGCTTAGGACTAAAGTCCTACCCTCGTAGGAAGGACTTGATTCCTCTACACGACACCTGTGCCGCACGAATCTCAGAATAGCCTTTCTCCCTCGTCTTTCCGATTCCCATTTATCTTCCTATCCTTGGAGAGGCTGTAGGAGAACTAATTAGATAACTAACCCAGTTTCATTGTATTCGGTTTTCACGAGCTACATGGTTGGTTGAGAAATGTTATGTCGTTGCACAACACCCATTTGTTTTCTTCAGAATTTTCCTTTTCTTTTTATACCCTATAGTAGTCCTAGGCATATACTACCCCTTTTCTTCTCCCAATTTCACTGACATATGGACCCACCTTGACTTGTCCGGCGGTGTACCTCAACACGTGGGCAGGTGTCGGAGATGGCCTCACACGACGCTCGTGCGAAGGATCCCGCTTCGCATCCCACCGTTTAATTCCAAACGAGCGACGGGGATAAAGCCAACACACGCTTCCCGTTCCCTTCGTCTTCAACATTTCGCCGTCTTCTCCTCCTCTCTCCAAAACCCAAATCCCCCAAACCCCGCCTCGCCTCGCCTCGCCTCCCCCCACCCCCAAGCAAACCAAACCCAAGGACGCCGAGTCGCCGACGGCCATGGCGCCCGCGGTGCTCGTCCCCATCGACGACAGCAGCGACGGGGAGGCCGGTAGCGCCACGGTCGTCGACGTCCCCTCCCCCGCCCCCGCCCCCGCCATGGACATCGACGGCGACGACGACGGGCGCGACCGCGGAGGAGAAGGCGATGGCGCTGCGGCGAGCGGAGGCGGCGTGGACCACCTCAGCGACCTCTCCAACGACATCCTCGCCAAAATTCTGGGCCATCTCAGGGACATCCGCAACGTCGCCACCACCGCCGTCCTCTCCAGGCGCTGGCTCGACCTCTGGACCCATGTCGACATCATCGTCTTGCAGTATGACGAGCCCCCCGACTCCAGAATCGTGCAGGAAGTTCTCGCCGCCCACGCGAGGAAGGGTTCCACGGACACGCACATCCGCCTGCTCGAGGTCACCTCCCTCAACAGCGCCACGGCGGACGCCACGGCCTCCTGGCTCCGCGTCGCCGAGCCCCGCCTCTCCGGCGAGCTCTTCTTCCGCAACAGGTCCTCGGTTCCGCTCGAAATTCTCAACGAGGAGATGGTCGTCGTGGAGCAGCTGGTCGACGAGTTTGGGGACTTGGTGGTGGACGAATCGGGCGCCTTCGAGCTGCCCTGCTTCATGAGGGTCACCAAGATAACGCTGCACCTGGGGTTTCTCGGCCTATCGCTGCCACCATCGGGTGTCTTCGCCGAGCTCAGGGAGCTGCACCTGGTGCACGTCCAGTTCAATGGCGAACTCACCATGGATGATGTCATGCTCCCCTCCTTGGAACGGCTAGATATTCGCCATTCCAGTGGCTTGGCCTCCCTGACGCTCAGGCTGCCGCCTCTGACCCAGATGACTCTGTACAATGTGCGGTGGTTGCGTCGGCTCAACGCCGAGCTTCCGGGGCTCGAGGTGTTGTCTGTGATCCGATGCTTCCGCGTGCATCTGGAGGGTGTGAGAATTTTGGCAGAGGAGCTGGAGCAGCTGCGGTGGCTAGATTTGTACTGGCCTGGATTGGTCTACTTCAACCGGATGCCGCGCCTGCGGACGTTGGTGCCCCCCGCTGTTTATCCTTATGGATTGCAGAGGGTTTTGTTCAATCGGAGCTGTCAGATGCTTCTCAATCTCTGTCCGAGCATTTACCGTGTCGTGCTGATGGTTGACATTGAACCAGTGAGTGCCTCTTCTTCCTCTGTTTCAGTCAAGTAATCAATTGTGTATTGCTCGAACTGCAATGTGGAGTATCAGATGATTATTCTTCAGAACATGCAATTTTCTGTTGCAAACTTGCAATTGTTAAGTTTAGATCATCTAGGCTCATGAGAGTTTAGGCTCAGTGCTCGATTCAGCTGCAGTCTTTTGTTGGCCTAACTTTTGCATTGTTGAGAGTTCAATATTATCCTCAACTAGTTAGAAAGTTGCAGAATAGGAGAACAATCTTGAACTGAACTTCAAAATTTATGTATACTTGACCTTAGGAAAATAATTTTATCAGCACATTTTCAAGTGATACTTGTTTCTGGACAAAGGATCAATTGCTGCATTCATGTTTACTGAGCTAGCATAATTGCGAGTCATGCATGCTTGCATTCTCGATATGCTGCAGTTTCTGAGTCGTCGTTACCAAAGAGATCGGCATTGATTATCAGTTGTTTCACCATTATGTGGTTGCTGAGCATGTTTACATAAGCCTGCAGATACATCTAATTCACTTGCACTACAATTGAATTCAGATTATATTAATTTCTATTACATGTGGCTGAAAAGCAGCATCCAAAGTTCCAAACTGAAAATGTTGACTCTAGTTAGCTATTCCGCAGCAAATTACTAGATCATTACTTGTCTGCAAACAAATTACTGATTCTTCAACTGTATTGCCTTATGTCAAACATTTCTTTGCTCTTTTCCAGTTAGTTTTGCATTTTGTCTGAGATTACCTCTGTTAACTTCCTACAAATTCATAGGAGCAAGGTGGCCATCATGGCGTTAGGCCTTTAATGGAAGGCATTACCCAACTCCCTCACATTAAGATCTTGTCCTTGAATTTACAAACACAAGGGCATGCTTATGGAGCTAGTGTGTTGCATATTCTGACAATGTGCACTGGTATAGCAAAGCTGTCCCTGAGAAACCAAGAAGATTTCCAGGTAATCATATTTCCTATGAATTTTGAACAACTGTGTTTTTTCATTCTAATTTCTATACCTGCAGTAAATTCTTGAGTAAGTGTAATTACAATTGCTCTGTTGGTTTAGGCAGGAAGTTACTCCCTCCGTCCCATGTTAAGTTCATTTTGGCTCATCCCATTTGTCTCCCAAAATAAGTTCATTTTTAAGCAATCATTGCATCAAAGTTTGTGAAAGTGAAAAATAATTGTATAGGAAGTATATAAAGTGAGAAATAATTGCATTGGAATTGGATAAAGTAGGGATATTCTAGTTTCTTGGTCTTTGTATTGGTATGTGTGGGATGAGTGAAAAATGAACTTATTTCGGGACATAGGTAGTATCAATTATGCCTATTTATGACATAGCAAAAGCTAACTCTTGATATGAATTAATTGATAACCCTATTCACATATTACTTGTCTTATCATCATAGCCCTCTTGGACAATATGTTTCCTACTGTCCTTTCAAATGATCCAGCCTGTCAGAGATGTAATAGATCCATGAAAGTTTTGGTAGAACTGAAAGTCATGCTTCATCGTGTGAACATATTATCCATCCTATGTGACATGCATTATAACCTGATTAGAAAAACAAAATCATCATAGGAAAAACTGTTGTTTCAATTTTCATCATTCCTTTTCCTAGGTGCCGAACAAAATGCCTTCCGCGGTTACTCAACGTGTCAGACGATGAATCTCACTAACACCTTGTACTTTGTTCTGATCTTGTAATTTCAGGTTGAAAATGCTTGTCCACCGAACTGCCTCTGTGACCGGCCACGAAACTGGAGAGATAAGGACATTTCAATGATGTCTCTAAGAGAAGTAGAGATCCTCAACTTCAGAGGGAGGCAACATGAGCTTGACCTTGTGAGGGTCTTAGTCCGGGTAGCACCAGCCCTTGACCTTGTAAGAATAATCTGTCACCCTTCGTCCACTGCTTTTGGGGTAGAGTCGCTACGTGCCTATGTACGAAGTTTTGCAAGCTTTAGGACTTCTGTGGAAGTGAGTCGAAGTAACTGAAGCAAGAAGAGCTATGCGACCGTAGCGAACTGAAGTAAGAAGAGCTCTACTGGCTACTGATCTTTGAAACACCTGACAAGTTTTGATCCTGCTATGCTGTAGAGAAACAGAGAAACTAGCTGGCTGCAACGAACTTAGTTGCCACGCGTTGTTCATTTGTCTTCATAAGCAAATTTACCATTTGTTAGCAATTTGGAATGCCTTTACCGTATGTTTGTCAGAGCTGAAGTAATGTGTTTGGCGCACCCGCTCACTGTAGCTTTTACGGCTTTACCGGTAATCCACCACGGATGCACTGGGTGTACATGGCATTTCTGATTTGCGTCGGGCGTTCTGCAGTTGCATATGTAACTGATCTTTTCAAGCGTTGGAAGTATTTTTTTTTAGATAATGGAATAAATAAATATTCCGGCCTTTACTCAAAAGAGCTACAGCCAATTATTACATAGAAGCGTTTGACAAACATAGTGTAGATCTAATTGAATAGAACACACCGCAAGGAACAATAAAGAATCCAGTCTAACAAAGGAGATTACAATTATTGAAATCTATTTGTAAATTTCCACCCATAATTGGCAAAAGGTTGCATAACCATAGTCTCCAACTTCCGACATGCAACTTTTAGAAACTCTTCATCATCTTTACACCTTTGTAGTTGTGCTCAAAACTGAAGCCAATGGGTTGCTCTGAAAATGACCTGCATATAGGAAAATGATGGTGATTTGTCAAAAACTATATTGTTCCTACTCAGCCATATTGCCCAACAAATGGCAGAAGCTCCAACAAGTATCAGTTTACTCATTTTCTTATCAACTTCCAAAAACCACCCATCAAAAATATGAGATACGCTAACTGGAAGATTAAATCCAAAAGAAAACTGAACTGCTCTCCACAAAAACTTCGCAACATGACAATCGAAAAAGAGATGTTGAATAGACTTATTCTTCAAACAAAACGAACACCTCAAGCTGCTATTCCAATTACGTCTTGCCAAGTTATCCTTAGTTAGCACAACCCCTTTAAGTAAGTACCACATAAAAATTTTAATCTTAAGTGGCATCTTAAGCTTCCAAATGCACTTATTCCTGTCTATATAACCATTATTAATTAAAGCTAGGTACATAGACCTCACCGAGAACAACCCATTCTGATGAAAATTCCATCTAAAAGTATCAAACGAATCATTCAATTGAATATGTACTATAGAGGAACATAATTCATGCCAACAATCAAGATTCTGACCAACTAAAACTCTTCTAAAAAAACATTAAGCGAAACAGAACCCATTACAGTAGCAATAGAAGATGTTTTCCTACGAGCAATTGCGTACAAAGATGGATACTTGTCCTTAAAAGCCCAGTTACGTAGCCACTTATCCTCCCAAAATCTAATTTGTTTCCTATTATTGACAATCCAAGAACCCATATTTAAGAAAGTACTTTTAACATTCATAAGACCAGACCAAAAATAGGAATCATCTTGTTTCTTGTCAACTTGGGTTATAGACTTATTATAAAGATATTTCCTCTTCAATAAGTCATGCCAAACCCCTTCCTCATTAATTAACTTAAACAACCATTTACTTAAAAGACATTTATTTTGTACCTTCAGATTATGAATCCCAAGACCCCCCTGGTCCTTGGGTTGACAAACAACATCCCACCTAGTGAGCCTGTATTTTTATTATGATCATCTCCTTGCCAAAAGAATCGCGATCTATAAAAATCAATTTTATGAAGAACCCTTTTCGGCACCTCAAAAAAAGATATCATAAACATGGCTAAACTTGAAAGAACTGAATTAATCAACACCAATCTACCCCCAACCGATAAATGCTTGCCTTTCCAACTAAGCGTTGGAAGTATATAGTACTAAAAGGCGTGTTTCAACCATGAGATTTATTCACAAATAATCCATCAACTGTCATAAACGGAAGTATATAATGCTTTAAGTACATTGTAGTACTCATCGTTGCTGCTGCTGGTGTTGCAAAATAACGTCCACGTCACGGTGATGGTCTTTATTTGCCGGTGTTCCCAGCTGAATGTCCGCGGTGAAGGTGATGATCCTTGCTGGTGTCGTCATCGTCATCATCGTGTCGTCGCAGGATCCACGACGAGGATTGTGTGTTGCGTGCCATCGGTGCCACCACTATCTTGGCAACTCCCATTCTTGCGGCTGCGGGAGCCGGACGTACGACGTCCCCGCCCTCCAGCGTGACGGAGCCGAAAATCCAACGCCAGCGGCGGCGGCTCCCACCGAGCCGCGTTCACGAATCACGCCGACGCGGGCGACCAGCCGCCCAGTTTCGCGTACGTGTGAGCTAACGAGCCCCGTACGTCCCACCACGTTATTCGATCGGGGCCTCGGCCTAATGCGTACCAGGGCGGCCCAATTTGTTATGGCTCATAGGCTCGAAGCCACCGTTTCGCCTTCCTCGTGAAATGTAAGCGCAACAGGGAAAGCATGTAAGAGCATCAGGGAAATCACGTAAGAGCATCTCCGAGAGATTCTCCGTTCCAACTCTTCAAGTTAAATTTTGGCCATCCAAGAGAAAAATTGCTCAATAAAAAACTAGCCATCCAGTTTGCTAAGCCATCCTACTAGCTAAAAGTGCCCTCGGCCTGGCCAAACTTGGCCATCCTATCTCGCTTGCCATTCATGAGTCCCACTACTTTTTTTTCTCTATCTTCTCTCATTCCCACCGAAGTGCAATAGGGAGGCGGGGGGCACAGGCGTTGTTGGCAGCGGCATGGTAGAGGGGGAGACTCCGGTGGCCGGCGACAGAAGCTTAGGGATAGTGTCATCTCTGGTGAGCAGACGAAAGCACGTGACACGGTGCTGTCGGCACTGCTCCAGGAGGATTTGGGTCCCGCAGGCGTAGTCTCCGTGGCATCGGCTACGGCAACGGTGGCGGCCGAGCGGTGGGACTTCAGCTCCGGCCAGATCGATGGTGCGCTCGTCACCCCTGTCGGTGTGAGCAAGAGGTCCCACGCCACCTGGCCAAGGTCCACCATTCTGTTCGCCTCCTGCCGATGTCGATGCCGTTCGCCTCCCGCATCGCTGTCGTCCACCCAAATTTATGCCGCCATCGTCTTCCTGGATCTGTGTCACCGCTGTCATCTCCCCGAATCCGCGCTGCTGTCGTTGCCCCCACATCATCTATGCTATCTACGGGTTGTTTCTAGGGGTAGACAAAAAACTCGAAACTCATGAGTAGCTGCCTAGCTCAACTCGTGTAAAACTCGGCTTGACTCGAGTCGAGTCGTTAATGAGTCGAGTTGAGTTTGAACTTTCACTCGCTTGCTTAACGAGACAACTCGAGCTAGCTCGTGAGTTACTCGGTTAGCTCATTGAGCTCATGATGCATTAAGATGGAAGTTAATTGTTCATGTAGGTATAAAAGTCGTAAACTCATAATTATACATTGTAGCACAATCTTGTGAGTCATGATATACATAGCATGTCAATTATAATCTTTGGTCATAGAATCACAAATTATACCGCATGTGAATTTTAAACCATGTATTTCGGTGTAACGAGTTTAATGAGTCAACTCGGACTTTTTAACGAGTCAAATTGAGTTCCATTTTTAACTCGTTATGTTAATGAGTCGAGCCAAGCTAGCTCGTCTACTTAACGAGTTTTTACAAGTCGAGTTGGCTTGTTAGCCACCCCTAGTTGTCTCCACCTCCAAACCCACACTTCCAGCTCTGCTACCCTCGCCTTTGCTAGCTGCTGCTGCTGCTCCCGGCCAAGGAAGTGGTGGTGGTGGCGGCACGGAGAAAGGGGGGAGCGGTGGCTGTGTGGAGGGGTGAAGAAGGGTAAGGAGGCTGACATATGGGACCCACTATCATAGACTCATATTTGAGAGTGTAGATGGAGAGACTGTTGAAGTGAATAATGAGTTTGACTTGCCAAATCAGATGGAGAGTTGGCTATATAAATGTTTGGAGAGTCATAATTTAAGTAGAGCGTTGAAGATGCTCTAACGGCAAGTCGACAAATACAACAGCCAACGTTTCCTCTATTTTGATTATGTTCTCCTCAATAATTAACAGAAGAATTTTTGTTCTTAAAAAACAAACACGTACAATTAATCCTAGCCCCTGCGGTATACGAATTAACCCTATACGGGTGGCATAAATCATGGCAAATTGGCAACCCCTCACCTGGTAGCCAACTCTAGGGGATTGACCCATTTTCTTCTCCCAGTTTCACTGACATATGGACCCACCTTGACTTGTCCGGTGCTGTACCTCAACACGTGGGCAGGTGTCGGAGATGGCCTCACATGGCGCTCGTGGGAAGGATCGCTTCGCATCCAACCGTTGCTTCCAAACGAGCGACGGGGATAAATCCAACACACACGCTTCCCGTTCCCTTCGTCTTCAACATTCGTTCTCCTCGCTGTCTTCTCCCCCCTCTCTCCAAAACCCAAATCCCCCAAACCACCCGCCTCGCCTCCCCCCTCGCCCAAGCAAATCAAACCCGAAGACGCCGAGTCGCCGACGGCCATGGCGCCGGCGGTGCTCGTCCCCATCGACGAAGGCAGCGACGGGGAGGGCGGTAGCGCCACGGACGTCGCAGCCCCCTCCCCCGCTCCCATGGACATCGACGGCGACGACGACGGGCGCGACCGCGGAGGAGAAGGCGATGGCGCTGCGGCGAGCGTCCCGGCCGCCGACGGAAGTAGCGCCGCGCTCTCCCTGACGCTGGGTCTCCACGTCCACGGCGACGGAGGCGGCGCGGACCGCCTCAGCGATCTCCACGAAGACATCCTCGCCAAAATTCTGGGCCATCTCAGGGACATCCGCAACGTCGCCACCACCGCCGTCCTCTCCAGGCGCTGGCTCGACCTCTGGACCCTGGTCGACATCATCGTCTTGCAGTATGACGAGCCCCCCGACTCCAGAATCGTGCAGGAAGTTCTCGCCGCCCGCGCGAGGAATGGTTCCACGGCCACGGACATCCGCCTGCTCGAGGTCACCTCCCTCAACAGCGCCACGCCGGACGCCACGGCCTCCTGGCTCCGCGTCGCCGCGCCCCGCCTCACCGGCGAGCTCTTCTTCCGCAACAGGTCCTCGGTTCCGTCCGAAATTCTCAACGAGGAGATGGACGTCGTGGAGCAGCTGGTCGAGGAGCTTGGGGACTTGGTGGTGGACGAATCGGGCGCCTTCGAGCTGCCCTG